GGTCCCGGTCCGGTAAGGGGGGAACCCTGGGGGTTGCGCTCCGTTGCCGGGCACGGAAAAAAAAAAAAAAGGAAAAAAAAAAAAAAAAAAAAAGACAGTATTTTTAGGGGCCGGCCCGTGGCTCACTCGGGAGAGTGCGGTGCTGATAACACCAAGGCCATGGGTTCGGATCCCATATAGGGATGGCCGGTTCGCTCACTGGGTGAGCGTGGTGCTGACAACACCAAGTCAAGGGTTAAGATCCCCTTACCGGTCATCTTTATAAAAAAAAAAAAAAAAAGAAAAAAGGAAAGGAGGGAGAGATGCCTGCAATTTGGTTTTCTGGGAGCTCAGTTACCAAAATCCAAAATTAGGAGAGATGACGGCTGAGCTGAGGCATTTGCATTTCCAGAAGGGCTGCTTTTGTGCTTGGCAGCAAGAATGGGGGATCGGTAACAGCCCCAGCCACAGGGGAGCCATTGGATAGGGCTGGCAGGAAGTGTCATTTGGGGAGAAACCACAAGAAAGGCCCTGTTACGTGGCCCCCAACCTTGCCAAGCCACCTCAAGCCCACCCAGGCCCAACACTCTCCTCCACTTTTGAGGGCCCCCCACACCCGGTCCTGCCTGCCACCACCCCAGACAGTGTCAGCCAGCTCAAGGGTCCTGCAGCGTCTTCACAGGGTGGGAGTGAGGTTTGGAACTGAGGCTAGACAGTGATTGGAGCTCCCTAGGACCCCCTGTCCCCCTCCCCCCAGGAACAACCAAATACTTCAGATTCTTAGAGCAGTGGGGTCCCAGGTTGAGCCTTAGATGAGCAAGAAAAGGGACTCTTTGGAGAAGAACCTGGCCCAAAATGAGAACTTTAGCCCCTCCACATCTCCGCCCTTGGCATGGTGATACACACTGACCCTCAGGCTTGGAGGAGACAGGTCTCTGTGTTGTTTTAAAGACAAGTGAGTGCAGCAATCCAAGAACCATACTTCTCCCAAATTCCAGGTCTGGCTAGTGGCTCCATCAAAGGAGGTGTGTGAGCATGTAGGAGACGCCTCAGGAGGGCCCAGCCAGGGCCTCTAGCAAAGCCCTTCTAGACAGCCCGTGGGGCTGTGTGAGCGTGGGCCTGTCCAAGCTTGGCCTGCCTCCACCTGGAGGGCCCATATTGAATAGGTCCCTGCACAGACATCCCAGCGCTGTCCCAGGAGGAGCTGACATCATCCTACAAGTGTGGGGTGTAGGGGTGAACACCCCCTCCTGACTGTTTGCATCTGATAGCTGGTGGAGCTTCCACTGGAAATAAACAACCAGGGACAAATACCACACCACTACCTCCAGACCATTTCCCTCAAATCTCCATTTCTTCCTGCAGAGAAAGGTAGATTGCAAAGTTTCCAAACTTGATCCTGATATAAACCGAAGAAAGGGACAATGGCAACCCTGTTCTGGCCTGTGAGCAAGAGCTGCCACACAACACCTTAGAGACCCTACTCATGTCCTATTGCCCCAGCAAGGGGCCATCACCTGTTTTTGGAGATGACCTTGCCCTGGGCTGGCTGCTCAAGTCATCAGAGTCCCAACACTGGCAGCCACAACAGGCAGCCTAGGGCTGGTCAGTGGCAGGAAAGCCAGCATATGAGGGGACAACAAGGCTGACCCCACAAGCTGTATCCCCTCTGAGCAGGCTGACCTGAAATTACCCAAATTCTGTTAAAAGCCTCCAGTGATGGGGTGCTCACTACCTCCTGAGACAGACAGCAGGCCTGCCAAGCTCTTCCACATACGGGCAGCGCCACATGAGAGAACTGCAGCAGGTCCCCAGAGGCCTCCAGAACATCCTGAGCCAGCAGCCTCCTCCCCACCTCCAGCTCATGAGAAGCATGTCTTTGACAGCAGGCCCTGTCATCCTAGCGGGACTGGTGGGTGTGGGGAATGATGGGTTTCCCTTGAGTACCTGCTCTGCACTGGGTACGGTGCAGCACCGACTTCAGAGCTATCTGGAGAAGTGGGTATCACAACCACTTCACACAATAAGAACCTGAGGCTCAGAGATGTTAGGTCAGTGTCAAGGTCATAAAGCTGATGACAGGCAGAGCCTGAGGCCTGACCCTGGACTAAGGTTCTCTCCCCACCCAGTGCAGGCTGGAGGAGGCAGCTTCCCCATTCTTGTTCATCAGAACTCAACAAAGGCTGCCCTCCTTTTCGGCCCAAGCTCTTAGGCATTCAGGTTCTGCTCCCACCTGGAAGCTGTAGAGGCTGGGAACCCATTAACCATGTGTTACTGGCAGCTTCCAGGAAGGTCTCATACACTCCCCAGGGCAGTGCAGATATGTTTGAGGATAAAGACCTCCCTGGCTGGCTGAGCCCCAAGAAGATGAAGGCTGAAGGCATGGACAACTCGCAGACATATGGAAAACATTCATCCTGGCTTTCCCAGCACAGAGGCCAAGGAAGGAGCCTATGGAAACCCTCATGAACAAATGGAAATGTGGGTGCCCAAGGCCTCCGAGTCCCAACAGAAGAAGCCAATGGGGGCCAGCCAGAGGGAGGAGGGTGGGATGCAGGGGCTCTGGCTGCCCTTGCTCCCCCAACATTCTGAACGGCTGCAAACAAGGGCATCTGGGCCTCAGGCAATCCTGGCAGGGGCCCTGGGGATGGGAAGACTGACTAGGTCTCACCCAGAACAAGCCATTCCTGCAAGAAGTCAATAGTCAGTTTTAATTTTCAGATTCCTCTGCCTTCACACATGCAGGGAGAAAGAAGCCACCAGGCTCCAATGAACATGTGTACATGTGTAGAACAGAAATTAAGGCCACTACAAAGCCACTACCAACTCCAGAGGGGTTGTTCCTGGACTAACCTGACTCAGATGGGGTCCTTTGAACCTTCTGTCATATTTGGGGGAAAATGCCTGGCTCATCCAACCAATGAGCGGTCAATTTCTAAGCCATGGCAGGGGTGAGAGAAGCCAGTCACATGGCTGAAAGGTTAGTGAAAAGCAAGGCATCTTGGGACCACCTCCTCCAGAGAGGGAGCTGCAATCTTAGGGCTCCAGGCAGCAAACATTTTCAAGGGGCTCCTTCACATTAAACTAAACATGACATTGAGTAATGTTGCATATACTACTTATCCTGATACGAGCATCACATATTGCAGTTATTGATATTCAACTCCATACCCCACAGGTATGTACAATCGACTATGTTACAATTAAAAATATATAATTTTAAACTCTTTTTTTTTTTTTTGGTCCTTTCTGAGACCGGCCACACCGCGCTCAGCCAGTGAGCGCTGTGAGCGCACCGGTCATCCCTATATAGGGTCCAAACCCGCGGTGGGAGCGCTGCTACGCTCCCAGTGCCACACTCTCCCGAGTGTGCCACGGGCTCGGCCCAATTTTTTAAAAATTTTAAAATAAATAAATAAATGTGGTCCTGGCAGTCAGATCTTAAGCATACTCTTTTCGGGCACAGATCTGATTCCCAGAGTTGAATCCCTTTATTTATTTACCCAAATACCACAATACAAACCCCCGGCCTGCCACCCCCAAATTGACCGAGCTCCTGATTCTTATTCCCCTGATCATGGTGGCGTTCTCTGCGTGATTAGCTTCTGGATCTCCAGACACTGCTTCAGCTTGTCTTCTGTCAGTGTCAACCGCTGCTCCAGGATGGAGACTGTCTGCAAAATAAATGATGGTCAGGCTCAGAGGATGGAGGGGCCACTGGGCTGTCCAAGGCATTCCCACAGCCAGTCCCCACTCAGCTGCCTCAGCCCATTGCCCAAATGCCAGGTGCCAGCTTTTCCTGCCCAGGGGTTCTGCCTGGCCCCTTGTCTCTGGTGGCTGTTGGAACAGCTCTTGCCTTCATTTCCACTCCTCCTGGCTCTGGATGGTTCACCTCTGATGTTTGTGGACAGGGGGAAGACACAGTGAGGGAAAGCAGACCTCAGGTCCCACAGCCCTTGGTCAATCCCCAAGACAACCAAGGGGTCAGGAATCCACCCCAGTGGTCTGGCATTTAGACTGGAGTTCTGGAGCAGAACCAGCTTCCTTGTTTGGGCCAGGCTCTGTCCACAAACAATCAGAGACCATCAACCATCTCCATTCCAGAGGTGAGAAAACTGTACTCACAAATGAAGGTACTCCACTTGGGTGCTGCTCACGACTCAGGCCTTTCCCCTCTACACCTGGAGAGGCTTCCCAGATTGACAGGGAACAAAGGCTGGGAGGCAAGTCCCCTGAACCCAGGAGGGTCTCTGCCTGTCCAAACCCAGTGTGGACCACTGTAGGATGTGCCATCTGGGGGTTAGGCCCAGGGCAATCAGACACAAATAACAACTCCATGTCTCTTAGCCTATTTCTTCCTCTGTGAGTGGGAAGGACAATGCCAAGCTCGTGGCATGGGTAGCTCAGCATGGTGCCTGGCACCTGTTCAGCTTGACCCATGTTGGCCACTATGACCATGCTTCTCATCACATTGCCTTCCTGAGGCTGAGCCCTTGCTCCCCCGGCCTCTCTTACACACCCAGCATGATGACTTGGCCACCCAGCCTGCGAAATGCCCTGAGCCACTAGGGCTACATGTGTTTCATGGGCCAGGGCATCTTGCAGACACGGTTCCCAGCCAGGCTGTGAAAAGCTGCTCAACTCCTCTGGCTTTGGACAGTGTCAGCAGAGGGGCGGTGGTGTCAGGAAGCCCGTGCTGTCTGTAGGGTACAGGTCCACAATGGGATCACCCCTCCCATCACATGCTTAGGTGGCCCCACACTGGCCATGACAGTTCTACTCGTCATCTCATGTCCCTCATCAAGGGTTGGCTAAGTGTCTATTGCACACCAGGCCCACACCAGCCACAGAATAGGTCCATGGTTAACGTGGCAGGCTTGATTCCTACAGGAATAGGAAGGGTCAGATGAATTTCCCCCATGGATTTTCCCAAGAGGTTTCATCTTCCCTGTGGCTCCTTGAAGGCTCTGGGGCCTTGGTCCAGTAGAAAGGAAACTTTCCTTTCATACGTTTAATAAAACATTGAAATATTTTGGGAGGGAGTTTCCCCTCTAAGGCTGCTATAAATTCCCACAGCATCCCACACGGATGTCAGATGCCATGACGCCTGGTGGCTGGCCCCTTCTAAATGAGATGGCCGGGGCTGTGAGGGCTCTGAACCACAGGTCACAAAACAGGGCCTGGAAAAACTGCTGCCCATGGAACATGGACTGCACCCTGAGAGACAGGGCTGAGCTGGAAGAGACCATCACATTCCCCAGTGCTGGCCAGCCAGCTGGGGAGGGGGTCTGCATCTTGTAAAAGTGGCAGCGGAAACAGCCCCCGGCTGGCCCAGGCAGCATTCCTGGAAGTTTCCACTGGCTGCTGCGAAACTTACACAGAGCCAAAATCATTCTTCATCCAGACTTTTTCCGATGGCCCCGACTCAAGGCCACAGTGGGGGAGCTGAGCCTGCTGCTTTTCCTCTTCTGTTTTTTTAAAAACTTTTCATAGGAACCCAATTTCCAAATGTGGAGAAGGTGGGCTCAGAAAACATGTGGGTGAGGTGCTGGGCCAGCGGAAACACTGGGGGCCTCCACTTAGTTCCATGGGGCCCATACTTCAGCTCAGTAGGAATGTGGCCATTAAATTTGTCGATATTAAATTCCTTTGAACAGAAAAGCATCAACTGTTTCACAACCAGCCCCTGAATGGAGGGTGCTGGCCCAGTTGGGGGCCCTTCCTTTTGGAGGCTTAAGGGGGCACTTCCTAGCACATTACAGACAAAAAGGATTTAAGAGTTCACCAGCTGGGGCCAACCCGTGGCTCACTCAGGAGAGTGTGGTGCTGATAACACCAAGGCCATGGGTTTGGATCCCATATAGGGATGGCTGGTTAGCTCACTGGGAAAGCGTGGTGCTGACAACACCAAGTCAAGGGTTAAGATCTCTTTACCGGTCATTTTTGAAAAAAAAAAAAAAAAAAGAGTTCACCACCCTTCAAACCTGCACCTCACCTCCCCACCATTCTCCAGCTCCCCCCATCCCAGCCAACCTTCTGAAGAGTCCTATCATCTCCATGTTTTGTCTGTGATTCTCCTATCCCTTCTTCCCTCAAGCCTACTCTGCCAAGGTGCTGGGTGGTGGCCACAATCAGGTAGAGGTCCACCAGGCACTTCCCAGCCACTTTTGATCACATCCAACCCCCTTTTGAGCCGGGAAGAGGATGCTTTTTGGATTTCTGTACGTTAGCATGCTGTCTAGCTTTCTCTGCTTCACATGTTTTTTTTTCAGTCCTACTCCAGTAAAGCATAGAGCCTCATTTTCATGGAAAATGGCTATCCCTCATGATAAAGTAAAACCTGGAAATCCTCTTTTCAAATTTTGCTGACATGCCTTCCCCCTATAAGGGAAAGGGTTTCCCCCATGGTGGAAAGGCCCCCATCAGTGGCATCCAAGTAGCAAAGGTTAAACATACTCAGGGCTGGGGGTGCAAATGGGCGGGAGGGCTGGTTGGCCACCTGCAGGGAGTCCTCCCACACCACAGGCCCGGGGCAGCCAGGTCAGGCCACTGCAGTGCACCTGTGTTTTGAAGCAGCATGTGGGTATGTAGGGGACATTCCTGGCAAGAACTAGTTCAGGGCCACATTGTGTGGCCTTGTTCACAGCGTGTGTGACCTTTCCTTGTGGGTTCAGAGCAACAAGGGTGAGCACATCCCCACACCAATGTCAGAAGCACAGCAGAGCTCTCAGTAAATACATGCTGCCTCACTGTCCAGAGGCCAGAGGCCATTCCCTTACACTGCCTGGAGCCAGATCCACTTGCAGGGGAGCCCAGGCCACCCCTCTGACCCAACCCTCGGCAGGGCCTAGCCAAGCAGGTTTCTTGCTGCTCACTTTGCCTCATGTCCTGGGTTTGGCCCTGGGAATTCTCCTCCTGCCACATAGTGCCTGTCCTCACCAGGCCTGGAGTAAAGGTCACACTTGCCCTGAAGCGCGAGGAGGAGCACTGTAAAGACAAACACTTCTAGGGCTGGCCTGTGGCTCACTAGGGAGAGTGCGGTGCTGATAACACCAAGGCTGTGGGTTCAGATCCTATATAGGGATGGCTGGCTCGCTCACTGGCTGAGCGTGGTGCTGACAACACCAAGTCAAGGGTTAAGATCCCCTTACCGGTCATCTTTAAAAAAAGAAAACGAAAAAGAATAAAGACAAACACTTCTGCAGTCTTTCTGAGTCCATACTCCATAGCCCAGCAGCCTCGACTTTCTTTTAATCAAGAGCAAACTTTCCAATCAGCCCCTTGACCCACACTGCCTCTCACTTTTCTCTGTCCAGAGGAGGAGGGGCCAGAGGTCTGGTCCCAGCCACTCAGAAAGCCCCCAAGGAGGAAGAGGCCGGGTGAGGAGGCTGGTGCCAACAAGGGAAACTGTCCTGCCTGACAAGGGTATCCATGACCTCTGACTTTTAGGCAGGGTAAAGAGAAGCTGAAGAAAGGGTTGGAAACCCAGGGCTCTGGCTGCTGGGTGGGTCTGGCTGGGCAAAGTGGCCAGTAAAGATGGCCCAGAATCCTCCATTCTGGGGTCCGAACTCCTCCACAGGGAGGCCCCTTCTGCTGCCCTGGCAGCTGATTCCTAAGTCCTCTTGGTAATTGGGGTGTAGAGTCCAGACTCAAGAGAGACCAGAGGGAGGTCGCAGGACTAGGCTCTGGAGGGGCGAGGGGGTCACCCTGATGATTCCTGACACTCTCCTCCAAGGGCTTCTCTTGGTAGCTGACGCTCATGGAGGGCTCACAATGTGCCAAGCACTCTGCAACAGTCCTTCAGGGTAGGAGCTTTCATCGGTTCCATTTTTTCAGATAAAGAAACTGAGCCAGAGATATTAAAAAACTTGCCTAAGGGGCCGGCCCGGTGGCGCAATGGATAGTGCGCCGCTTGGGAAGCGCGGCGGTGCTCCCGTCCGAGGGTTCGGATCCCACATACAGACCGGCTCCCGCTCACTGGCTGAGCGAGGCGTGGGAGCAACGCCGAGGCTTGCAATCCCGTTGCCGGTCCCCGGTCCGGTACGGGGGCAACACTGAGGGTTGCGATCCGTTGCCAGACACGGAAAAAAAGACAAAAGACAAAAAAAAAAAACTTGCCTAAAATCACACAGCTAATAAATGACAAACCTGGGCTGTGAGCCCTGGTAACCTGGCTTCAGAGCGCATGCTAAAGCATTGGGAAACGTGCACCTTGGCTCTGTCCCCATCAAGCATACCTGAGGAGAGGCCTGGCCTCACTCACTTTCTCTCCATGTGCTCCAGGCTGTGCCTGAGGGCAGTTGGTCACATGGCCCTGGGAGACTGGCTTGTTCCCCATCTCCCAACTTCCAGAACCTGGAGGAGAAACTTGTGGATCCCTTCCTCACTTAGCTATGGCTACCTTCTGTCCTGATTTAGGCGACTTGGCCTGAGCACTCTCAGAGGCAGTTCCCAAGCTAATGCAGAGTCTCTTACCTGGCTAAACATTTAGGTTTGGAATTATCACAAAAGTCATAAGAATAACTCATCTGAGCCACAAAAAGGTAATATTATAGGGGCAAAATGGACCTACCAACAAGAACCTCTGAACAGACAGGTGATGAGGAACAAATACCTAATATCCTATAACCTTCATTTTGGATGTTTTCTTTCATTGGGGCACTTTGTTACTTCA